TCTTTCATAATTACAAAAACGGTGGCTCAGTTCCTTTAATTTTTACTAATAACTAGTTATAACTTAATTGCACATGCGCAGTAGCTGACTACTCATTTAGTACTCGATACCATTGACCATCGATACTGATGATACTCAGACTACTTGGTATCGGTATCAATTCAAAATTTCTGGTATCTCCCACCTCTAATACATGTGGCACTAATTTAGGGGCGTGACAGTGACAAATTTATGATAGATTAACAAGGCAAAATAAAAGTAAAATCAATGAAAATATCTTATAAAACCAGCTTGGAAAGACAACGAAAATTTTTGACAATGACAATTTCCTGCTATACAGTATCAACCAACTCCATGTTCATGTACATGTACATATACCTTAAGACATTACACTATACCATAGACTGGGGTTTATAGGTCTTGTGAAGTTTATCATTGAATGGTTTAATTTTATTATTATCACTCCATTAAAACAAGTTAATTTTTTTGGTAAATGTTTTCCTAACTTTTGCGTTTTTGCTTTGTTGCTAAATTAAAATTTGCAAAAAATTGCGTTTACCTAGCCACATCTTGCATTTTGCATATTATTCGCAAATTTTTTCAACCATATTTTTTGGTGAATTTTAATTTTAAATAAAATAATGAAAAGTTTAGCCAACATTGAATAACCTCATGTTTACTGTATACGCCATAAAATTTTACAATTTTAATGTAATTACTAATTACAAATTTATCACACCTACTACTTGTATACAATGAGCATGCTATTTGGCAAATTTTAATTTATGTGAATTTTTCCAAAATGCAAAAATCGCAAAAAATTTAATCTCCAAGAAATATAATTATGGTGTATACAGTATTATGAAGATTGAAACCTCCCTTTTGGGCCAGGATTAATTATACTAAGCATAATTGAATTTCCTGGAATTTAATTATTTACAAATTGTGTTAGATGATGCATGAAATCCACTAAATTAGGAATACCAGTAAACATTAGTCCAGTGTATTGTAGATAGTATAATGTGTTATCATAACAATGTCAGTAATGGGACCCTCATCTAGTAGTGTAGTAGTTTGTATCTCTTCCACTGAGTATTTATGTAATATTGTCACTAGGTGTTCCTCCTCCTACTACCCTAGTCCTAGTCCTACTTATGTGTCCAGTCATAGATACTCAATGATTCAATGTATACTAATACACCAGACACACTCTTTGTAGAGGGAGGGACACTCTCTTTCCTTATAAGGATATACATGTACATGTACTGTATTGCAGGA